GACTGTGCTCTTTGAGTCCATCTTTTGCTCTCTGCTGGGTCTGACTCATCTGCAGCTCTCACTCCCTCCGCCCAGCACGCTACCCACAATGCCCCACTGTGTCCCGGGTCCGAGCAGCTATAATGATCCCGCCTTTGTTTCGGCCACACACGCCTACTATACCCAAGATCACAATCACCGTTCTGCAGCCTACAATACCCACGAGGCTGTTTGTTTCATCTCAGCCCTGCAAATGAATTCGCCTGTGCTGGGTGAAACAGTTTGAAGATATTTGGAGAATGTTTAAGCAGCGTTACCTACTGCTGCGGCAGATTCGTTACAAAACAACCCGATTACCTTGGTTTTGTTTTTCGGTGGAATTTATAGACAGGTTTCTTTATGGACGCAGGTTTAGATTGTCAAAGCTGGTGATGGGGGGTGAACAGATGAAGGGATCTGAGGTCAGAGAAGAGCATGCCAGACTCCTTTCTTGTGTGCAAAAACAACAACCTTGCTGCCTGTGGGTGTCTTAACTCTGTAAACGTACTGTTGTGCAACTCGCAGTTGACTGCACTTTGAATTGTTATTTAACTTTTGCTCTGAATCGTGAGAATTCATAGGGAAAGATGCCAAAGCACTATCATTCAAGCTTCTGATCTAAATGCTATAAGAGCCTGAGAATGTAAGAGGAAAGAAATCCATGCCCCACCCACAAGTGTGTTAATTCTTAGCAACTTTTGTGAGGTTGGGCAAGCTTTTAGTATGATAGTACTTGAGTCTTGGTCTCAAGTCCAGTCTTGACACTGTAAGCTAGCACTCTCGGTCTCAACATCGTTTTGAATCGGTGTCAAGGTAAGGTGGAAATTGTTCTTGAGGTCAGCCAAGTGCAATGCCACCATCTGACGTAATTACAAACTGATTTTTTTTTTCTGATTTTGATTTTTCATTATTGAATACCAACAAAACCTTTTACAAAAATGTTCATATATATATATATATATATATATATATATATATATATATATATATATATATATATATCACAAAATATTCCTTTGAACATAATGAAACATTTTAGCTCAGTTTCTGTTAAAACATATCAATTATTCAAATTAGACTGCTGTAATGTTTGTTTAGAGACTCCACATAACTTGGAGTTTCCAACTGCAGAGCGCTACCAAGTGTTGTAGAGCTGCTCTGAGTTTTTGTAGCTAATCAACTACACAGATTGGAAACAACAACAGAGAATTTGCCACCAAGCTAACATTAGCTTGGTTAAATAACAAAAGAGCACACCTGATCTATCCTAACAATCTTTCATGCACATGCAAAATAAATATCAAGTGTAATTAATTGCTCACAATTATTTTCAGTTACAATTATATTCAGTTGTGTGCTACAGTTTCTCATTAGGCTGAATGGGGTTTTGCTAAAGCTTTTCTGCTTTTTATATTATTAGTCATTTTTATAGTTTATTGTCCCATTACTTTACCTGTTGCTGCAAGTGTAGAGGAATTCCCCCTGTGTACAAGGTCTTTATGTTTCAATATATAAATTAATTGGTCCCAAAAACAGTCTTATAATCTCTGTCTGTCCCTCTCTCTTGCAGTGCTTATACTCAAGAATCCTGGTAATGAAGTGTACTGTTTAGTGTCATTTGCTGGCCGTACTCTTTATAAATAAGCTGTGAATGGGAGAGTGATTCATTTCGCGAGCAGCACCCACAGAGAGCACCCCCTACAGCCAAGCAAACAGAGGCAGATATGCCAGCTCCACACTGCTAACCCCTCTAACTTTCTCTCATTTACCACACACAGGCAGAAACACAGTGAGATCAGTGGGGGTGAAAGATAAAACAGAAGGTACTGATGGACAGGAGTAATCAACCAACCAAGTACTCGTTCCGTAATCGCATATTCATCTAGTAAAATGCTAATCCAAATTTTGCTTTGCTTGAAACCAAATAGAAAAAAAAATCAATATATAGTGCCTGAATCTCTGGGTTCCGCCAGCTGTTTGTGTATGCTGTTAGCTGTTAACTTTTTTTAGATGCCAAGCACCTTTTGAATGTGGCTTGAAACTCACTTATTCATGTTTAGCAAACTGAAGATTCTCCACAAGGAGATGCTGTTTGCTCACCTGTAGCTTTAGATGCTTCACAAGAGCAGTGCTTTGCATCAGTGACACTTTTTGTCATTGTTTAAGCAGCCATCTAACCTCTTTCTACAGGCCGCTTAGTGGTCACCCCCGTAATACTGAGAACCTGCCATGAAAACAACTCACATTTCTCCTCAAAGACAGTTCTGCCAAGATAAAATGGGCAGCACACCTGCAGCTTTCTTGAAATCAAAAACTTGTGTACAACTGGTACGATAAAAAAAGCATTTAAACACAAATAAAACTCTCTTAGAAATGTTGATTTGCTTGACAAACATCAAATTTGCTTCCAGTTTTTTAAATCATACAAATTTCAATTGAAATGCACAGTATGACCAAAAGTATGTGGACACCTGACCATCACACCTGTAGGTCATCACATTCCAGAACCATGGACACTTGTTTGGAATTGCCCCCCTCTTTGCAGCTATAACAGTCTCACACACATATTTTACAGTGCTGGACTACAAACCCGACCTCAACAGTAACAGGAAGATCAGTGAACCAGATGCTGTTTTATCAAAAGTAAACCAATTACAGATTCTGACACTGATCAAGTTGTATCTGCCACCACTGTAATTGGCACTTAGCATATTAGTAATATCTACACTCTCTCGGACAAATCTTTTGTACTGTGTTGCTTTCTCTTTCTATTTCTCACGCCCTCCATTTAAGCATTAAAGAAGATGTGTTTGCCTTTCATCCCATTGTACAAAATGACAGTGAACTCTACACTGGGGCAGGGTGAGTGTGTATAAATAAGTGTATGCGTTTCTAACACTTGCCATCGCAGGAACTGTTCATTTATTAGTCCTGCGTGGCAGCATCAGATCTGGGCTGCGGGGGAAGTGTCACCATATGGCGGTGGCACACGCGCTAAATGAAATAAACAGGATGGATGAGGGAGAATGGTGCGTGGAGCGCTCTTCATTAGCCTCTCTCCGTCTCTCTGTCAAACACAGCCACAGGTCACCCAGTCAGGGGCGCATAAGGAGAGGTGGCAGCCGTAGTTAACGCTGACTCTCACAGCTTCATTACTATCTCTTCTTGCCACGGGTATTAGAGCTTGAAATATTTGTCAGAATCCCACCAAACCCTGACGTGAATAGTCGGTTCCTGTCATTTTTCATGGTCAGGCTCAGATTTCATGTTCAGGTTTCTCATGGTTTCCCACTAAGACTATTAATTTAAATTTTGTTTATTAATTATCTGATGATGTCATTGTCATTGTTGTCATTGTCTACAAGATAACTTAAGAGTTGCTAAATACCTTTCTAGGAAAGTTTTTCAGTCTCATATTGATAGCGGCTGGTTTTTGACATTTGGATGGGTATTTTTTTTGGGCCACAGTTGGATTCAGACAGAATTTTGTTAGGCTGTAGTAGGATTTGGACAGAATTTGTTGGGCCACAGTCAGGTTCTGACAGAATTTTGATTCAACAGTTGGGTATAGGTAGAATTTTTGTGGGCTACAGTCAGTTTTGGACAAACTGTTTTTGAGCTACAATCAGAATGCGACAATTGTTTTGAGCTACAGTCGGATTCCAGTGCTGTGGGTCAGGTTGGGACAGACTTAGACAGAGTGTTTCGAGTTTTGTTTCAAATTTCAGGCCTGATGAAAGCTTGTGTGCAACCTCTCAGACTATTTTTGTGCTAGCAGCTTGCATACACAGAAAAGGCTACAGTTTGCTCATAGCAGAAGTTGTTGCAGGCTTTGAATAGCTTGTTTCATACAGTGTAAGAGTGAAATGCCTGCTGGTCTTCCTCATCAATCATCCTCAATGTTTGATCCAACAATGCACGTCACTTTGACTTGGCACAACCTCAATGTTTAATGGGCTCTGTAGTCTGTAGAAACGTCCAGCATTGCCACACTTGTGGTTTGGCGTGACTCTCTGCCTGCTCTCTAAATCACGTTATGGAGGAGGAATGTTCCAGAAGCTTTGTTGCCTCAGGCCTGGGCCCCTCCCTTCCCCTCATTCTGCTCCCACAGATTGGCTGGATAATTTTACCTCATTTGCATTTCCTTGAGTATCAGAACCTCTGGAAAACAAAGGCTAGCCAACCGAATTAGTGTCTGATATGTATGGATCCACCGGAGCACAATTCGATTAGGGCTCCTTCCTGTTCTTCTCCCAAGTGAAGGCCATTTGGCTTAGCTTAGCTACCTGATATACTCATTATTCTATTCATTCCTCCTGTTTGAAAGTCAGCACTGTGAGATACTCCACAAGCTATATGAAGAAAAATAGGGCTGAGTGTCTTGAAGCAGTGTCATTGTAATTACTAAGCCGTTTGCTTTCCAGAAGGGTCTTGGTGGGACATTGATTATAATTATATCAGAATTTAATTGTGACTGTTGCCTCTCTCTTTCAATCAAGCTTAGATCATTATGTTATTCCATTTTTGATTGCTCTAATTTTGATTCTTCTTTTTAATTAGTTTAGAGTTTAAAATAATGCTCCTATTTCATCTTCTCTGTAGTAAGCAATAAAACACTTTATTGGCTTTTTAAGCGTTATTGTTTTCCTTTGTTTTTATGATTGTATTTTCCCTTGTTTTAAAAATGCCAGAGGAACATCAACATATCACCAGGCTTCTGTGGAAACCAAATGGGAGCCAAATGATTTTGTGCCTAAATATTTTAACTGATACACTTTAATCATTTTTTATTCATCTTAGAGGCTCAAAATTGAATGGTATATATAGATCAGAACTTTAAAAAAGGAGGACCCTAATGTCCAAACATTCTAACTTAAGTTCAATGTATAATTTGATGATTGACTAAACATGCTGAGACTTTACCTCTTGTTTGTAATGACTCTGGGCTGTATGCTATGTGATGGTGTTTGTCTTTTCTGAAGGAAACTGGCTAAGAAGCGTAAAGAGACCCTGAGCAGCACTCGGCAGGAGATGACGGTGATGGTGAACTCCATGGACAAGAGCTACACAGAGCAGGGCACCAACTGTGACGAGGCCCTCTCCTTCATGGACACACACAACCTAAATAGCCGCTGTGAGTCCACCACTCCATCATAGCCCACACAGTCACTCAGCTATAGATTAGATCATGTCCTGGACTAAACTACACACTTGATAGAGTTCTTTCTGCTAATTGTGATTACATGTTTTGAAAACACAAAACAGTATTGTACTGTTTTAGTTTATCATTATGAAGAATGAATGTTAGTGTGTAAGTGAAATAACTGTTGTTTTAAAATTAATCAAACAATATTTATTGCTGCTTCAACTTAGGCCTTGTCCACATGTATCTGAATATTTTTGAAACTGTAACTTTTTTACAAGTTTTGGTCATCCATACACACAAAACTGTTGTATTAGGTCACTGAATATGGAGATTTTTGGAAGAGATTTTAGAGTGTTTTCATTTTTGCAGTTTCTGTTTCTTGAGCATGCAGATCTCTGTCTGAAATAACAGCTAGGTTGTTTATGTGTGCTTGGGAATTTAGAGGGTTGCCAACATGTTTACAACTAAATTTCAGTTCTCTGTTTTCAAGCTCTGTTCATTAAAATAGATTGTAAACTCAGTTGCAAATATTAAAAATACCTTATTGATATATAAAAATATATCTAAAAAAAAGTTTTTTACATTCTCATGTGACAGATTTTTTAAAAAAAACAGAAGAAAAACTACATGTTGAATAATGTCCAGATACATGTGGATGAGGCAACTATGTGGACATAGACAACACTTTGTTTTTCTGATTGTTTGACTTGGGCACCATCTTACTGAAAGGCTGGGCCCCACTGTAATCCTCCACAGCCCTGATGAGTGTGACTAAGCGCTGGTGTTTTTAAGCTGTTTGTCTGCATCCCTTGTTCCTGCTTAATGAGCCAGCTGCTTCACTGTATGACCTCAGAGCACGTAGCTCTGACCTCCAGCCACCAACTGCTCTGGCTGAGGACCCTAAGAGTCACCTTGCTAATCCCATCCAAATCCCCTAAAACCAGGGGTGTCCACTCTGGGCATGGAAAGCTGGAGTCTAGCATTGTTTGAAAACTCACTCAAATTTATTTCACTATAGTTATAGTAATTACCAGGTTTAGTAAGTGCATTTAATAAGCACCAAACTGCACTACTTTCAGCCAGCCAAGACCAAAGTTAGCCCTCCTGCCCTATATACTCACACGCACACCCATGTGGACATACAGACACACACCCACATGCACACTCTCAGATTCTTGACTGGTGCCCACACAGACAATGGCCCCCTGATGCCTCACCTCTGTCCCTGAGACGTGTCCTCGGATAGCTGTCTGAGAGGTAGCTTTGGACATCTTTACTGATCTGTTGACACTGGCTGTGAGTGGGTTAAGCTCTGCTATTAGAAACACATGCTGAGAAGATAACCCAGGTCACAGCTGCCAAATCTGAAAAGAATGAACTTAATGAAATTGCTTATTGCTAATTCATATACAGTATGGCAATACAAATATTTCACTCAAACAAGCTGATACTGAAAGATACTAGGGGTCAGTTGGTATTATGCAAATGCTTTCATTCATTGTTAGCCACATAAGCATTATTACATGTATGCTAGTTTAATATATTATGGAAAGATATTTGTTACCAAGACCAGTCTGTTAAAGGATGTGAAACTTACATGTTGCAGCTGGATCATCTCCATGCTCCCTCACCGTGAAGACAAACACACTGAGCACAGCTCTGCCCAACTCCTACTACCCAGGTAACACCACACTATTTAGCAACTATGCAAGTGGACACCTTCTCCTTTCTCGTGTGTTTTAAACTGTGATAATGCCCGTCTGTGTGCCAAACAGTGTGGTCAAGCATTATACCCTACTATTGCAATGACTGACCAAAGTGTAAATTTATAATGTCTGTGGGTAGCAACCAACACTCAAATGACTTTTTCTCTGCTGACCATAGACTTCTTTTTGTATCATGTGTTTTTATTATTTCTTACTTTCTTTTACTGGAGGTGAATCATCACAGTAACTAGGAATGGGCATTATGTTTCATTTTTGAGTGGTTTGATTAGTTGGAACAGAGAACATTCACAAGTATTGTGTACAGTGTTTTTTTAAGCAGTGTTTCACATATTGCATCCTGTTACGCTCTCTTGAAATTGGACACATGATTTCCTCTTTAAATGCTATGGCACTCCATTGTAAATATTTTTAAAGAAACATCAATGTTCTGTGTTCTGTTAATTTCTGACGATAAGCTCAGAAAAACTTATTATGGCATAATTTATCATGATATACATGATTGTGCAAAGTTGGAGACCACAAGGATAAAAAGCAGGAAACATATTTAATACAAAATTACACAATGCCTCAACAACTAAATATAATTTAAATTTTGTCAGTACTTAAAGTGACTGTCTTTGCCTTTATTTTTCCACACCTCCAAAGTCCAGTCTTAGGAGTTGTTTGCTTCTTATGATCCAAGTATTTCCAAACACACTGAGTGATTGCCAGTCCATTGTTCTGAGATTTTGTCATTGAAGCATATTTTTGTTAGTAGTCTGCTAATGGAGGCTAGCAGCAGATAACGGTTTGAGATATTGTGGCATTGGCCTGGGGATGGCTGAGCCACGCTGGCTGGGAAGCTAAAGAGAACCCCAAAGAACACACACACACACACACACGCAAAGCTGAGCTTTTATTTAAATGTGAAATCACAACCAAATCTAAACTGAAAATACAGGCTACCGAGGCTACTCACTGTCAGAGTTCAAAACAGAATGCTCTCTAGCCAGGGTTCTCTTTTTAAAGTCCTCTGTCTTTTACTGGCTTGGAGAGCCTCAGTTCTTAAAGCGTCCCGGGTCCTCCCCAAATCAGTCCCCCATGTTATCGGGGAGGAGCCTTACAGACATGGCTTGGGCTCTAGTGGCAGCTCCGCCTCCAAACGCCACAGATATACACATTTTTTGTTGTATTTCATTAAGTTTCAGCCTCAGGAAACTTACAGACTATTGGATTTATAGGTCAAGCCATCAACTATGCAAACCCCTGCTTTTCACAGTGGAATAATGGATAGAAAGACCTTTTTTTCAGATCTGAAGTAGAGCTTGATGTTCTGTCTCTCAAAGATGAAAGCTTTTAGTACTGTTTACCTGATGGTGACAGTTTTGGTGGTCTACCAGGTCTTCCATTGTTGTTAGGAGTCCAATTTTCTCTGTATGTATATATATATATATATATATATATATATATATATATATATATATACACATATGTGCGTGTGTGTGTGTGTGTGTGTATATATGTATACAGATATCTTTCACATTTTTTGAACAGTTTTGAAAACTTTAATCCAAAAAATAAATCACTTGTACTTAATGGCTGTTTTGACTGGAAATAAAAAAAATGAAGGGTGGTCTCTGACTTTTGCACAGTACTGTATTGTTATGTCACCCACCCCTAACTATAAGTATGTTACTTTTCTCATGTTGTTTTCTCTTTGTGTCTCATTTCTCACCGGCCTGCCGCCGTATTCTAATTCCCGCCAGATCCCTTTGTGCCCACTGCTATCTTAGGTGAGAGAAATCTTTTGTTCACTCTTCCCATAACCACTGCTAGTCTCTCTCTTAGCCTCTCTACACACTCATACAGTCAGAAATACAGGCCATTTTTAAACACTGTGCTGAAGTAAGTTAGGCCAGACTTGAAGGAATGTGCTTTGTGGTCATGTTTTTTGGTTTGGTTGGTTGTAGTGGTTTTCTTTTTTGTCCTGTAAAGATGGCTGCCTCATCTCCATACCTGCCTGTTGCTTCTCTTCCTCCCTACTCGTCCTGTTTGTGCCGACAGTGGGCGGGGCGCCCCGGGCCGAGGCTGACTTCACTCCATCCCATCCGCATTGCGTCTCGTGCGTGTGATGTCACATCCTGTCTGACCTCTCATATGCATGGACAGACATGTGGACTGGATGTGGAGGGAGTGGATTGTAGGGCAGGGAGGGTGTGGAAAAATAAAAAAAACAAAAACAAAAATATTTGCAGCGGCTTGTTCAGAATCCGTTGCTGTCTGCACAAATAAAACAGTGAAAAATGAAAGTGGGAAATCGTTCTCACAATGAAAAGTCTCTAGTTCTGTAGTTTTGTCAGTGAAGATGTCTCTCACTTTGGAGAAAGAATGCTTTTGATGTTGTTTCTCAGGAAAAACATGTTGTTTTTAGCTGGAAAGGAAAGAAAAAAAACAAACAAGCTTTAGCCGTGCCCCCTCTCCCTCCGCCATCTTCTCCACTCTCCCTCCCAAAGCAACCTCCTCTTCGATTCTTTTTAATGTCGCTCCTGCCTCTGGCTAGTTCCCACTTGTTTTTGTGTTCCTCTTTTGCTAGTGTTTGTTCATTTATCCCATGATGAAATAGAATAATAAAAAAAAAATTCATACGGAATTATAGCCTTTTACTCAAAATCTGCTACGTTTTTCCTTGTAATGCGAGCGCCCACTTTGCGGAAAGGTTAATTAAAATATAGCATGAAAGGATTATAGGAGGGCACCTTATTAAATATGAAAGACTGTTGGCTAGAGTCATGTAACTAGTAGCTTAGAGAGAGGCTTGTTGCCGTACTGTGGCAGAAAAATAACATTAACGCTACAATAGATGCTAATGAAACAGCAGCTCGCCCACAGTAATTGGTATACGCGTTTACATCATCAAACGTACTTCATTAGTGTGTTCACATTACAGATAGTAAATATAATGCAGCAGTAGTGTTCACATTATAAAGGACAACCTTGAAAGATCAAATTACGTGCAATCTATAGGACCCAGAATATATGTTTGTATCTACTTTGAAATTCATTTTCTATCCTTCACTGTGTGTCCAAACCCGTCGCTTTAACAAAAACCTGTAATCTGCAGCACCCCACTATCTATCCCAGGCTTTCAGGCTAGTGAACAGAGCTCTAGTGTGCCAGTGCTCTTTGGTGTATTGTTGCTTATACCCTGTCTCCTCTCTCTCTCTCTTCTCCTCTCTCTCGCTCTCTCTCTTTTTCTCTCTGTCGCTCTCTTCTTCACATTTAACCTCTAATGTATCTGCTTAAAAAGTCCCCATTAATGGTAAGTTCCTCAGTCTACCTGTTGTTTTGGGGGAAGGAGGTTGTGTGTTCCATTAAAAAGGTGTCCGCCATTGGCCCCGCCCCCACTACCACCCCGCCCCTTCCACGCACACAGTCACCCACCCTCGCGCCACCATGTGTTTTTGACATGCATGGCAGTGGACATGTCATGACATCACATGCAAAAATCTTCTTAGCTCACGAGTGACCCGTTACCCCCCATCACTGGGAATCACATCATCTCTGCTTACCTTTCACTCAAATCGCTCCGATTTCATTTCAGAGTGTGTTTTTTTCTGTGTTCGTGTTGTGCTCAAGAGGCATGGCTTTTGGGGCATCGGTCATTGTGATGTCACACATCGGTCATCCCTCATCATGCTTTGCTATTGAGGAACAGCTCCTCTGTGCCTCATCCTACCATTGAAATGAATTTCAGAACCAGAGAAGCAAAATCTCAATGCATTGGCTAAGATGAGAGCCCAAATAGCAGAGACAGGCATACCTCAGTACAGTATGATACAAGGATGGTGTAAATGAGCAAAAGGGCAGAATGGAACGTATCCCTCCCTCTGCATCCACTCATTCACTTCCTCCCCCACAACTTTGTGTCGTGTTCCATCCAAAAACAAAAAAGAAAGCAAAACTAGGCTCTAGAAAAGGACACTTTCTTTTACAGTGTAACTTTTCTCTTACTCGCCTCAGTTGGACCCCTTTACACTGCAAGTGAACCCACACTTCAGTTGCTCACTCTCATGTCTACATAGCTTGCATCGTCGCTGCTGGAAAAAAACCTTGCCTCCATTTTTGTTGTTCTTCAGTTTTTGACATAATTTGAAATCGCCTGCTGCCTTTTACACTGTGTTCAAATTTCATCATGAAAGACCAAAAGAAATGGTCCAAACTCATTTCTGCATTAAAAGTTAGGAACATTTTTTCTTTCTCTTGTAAAGTTGGAGATAAAAGGTTTTGTTCCGAGAGCGACGGCACATTAGTTTCACAGTAAAGTTTGGGTGACCCTGGTCAAATTACATGTTTTGTAGATTTTCACATTGAAAATAAGTTAATCCCTTAAATGGCCTGGGCCCACTGACAGGCCCAAAGTTTACACACCTCTATAACCTAAGAATAACTCCAATTTGCATTGCAGTCCCTGTCGATACTGAATAATACGCTTTAGTTTGTAATAAGCTTGGGATTTTAAGGGGTTAACACATCCTCTATTGAGAACACACTTCTGCACATTTTAATGCACAATTACTGTTTATTTTCTGATTTTAACATATTGGGGGGAATGTGCAAAAGTTACGCCACATTTTATACTGTATGTTTCATTTTAAACAAAAAAATAGGAATTGTTTAATAAAAGTTGCAGATAAATATCATGTTACAGTTTGTTCACTGTATAGCAGTGATGGTAGATCTCCAGGACCAGAATTGTTGTTTAATTTGACCAGGGGTTATTCAGATTTCTACAGACTCTAGTTACCAAATAATTAATACTAGTCTTAAATTAATAAGGGGTTAAATAATTAATGGGCTATACTGTCTTTCGTTGATATTAAACTATTTATACATTTCCAATCTCAAAAATAACCCTGTTACATATGATAACTACTGTAAAAGAAAGTGTAAGTGGAAAGTTAAGAAAATTAATGGCATTCTTTAAAGTAATTGGGCCAAGTCATGCTGTAGTGACCCACCTGCCCTTTCTTCTCTCTCTCTCCCTCCCTTCTAGATGAAACCCAGACGATGACGAGCGACACCAGCAGCCTGGCACAGTCACACACACACTCCACGCATACACACTCTCTGCGCAAGCGGGACGGGGTGGATGTTCCCTATCAGACAGGGCAGCTGCACCCGGCCATTCGTGTGGCCGACCTGCTGGAGCATGTCACCCAGATGAAGTGTGCCGAAGGCTACGGCTTCAAGGAAGAATATGAGGTAGGCCTCCCATCCATTGCCTCCACGCTCATCTTTGCCTTCCTTTTACACTCATTCTTTTGCTCTGGTGTGTGTGTGTGCGTGCACATCTGTCCTTTCATTTCAGCATTTCTTCTCTTTCAGTCCTTATGTCATTCTTTGCTTTCTTTGCTCACCCCCCCCCATATACACACTGGTTATTGAAAGTTAATGCAGGCTTTGATGATGAATGTGTTTAGTTGTGTTGTCTTTCTGTCTCTCTTTCCATCTCTCTGTCTATTTCTATGTCTCTCGCTCACTCTCTCAAGCTTAGCACTGTGTAGTATCTGTGGCTTTGTAGTTTTGCACTGATTATGCCAATGACACCTTCACACAGAGAGCTCCCAAGGGAGGCTTGTTCAACCACTCTGGCAGACAGAACACTATTGGTAAAAAAAAAGAAGCCCACCAGACTCAAGTGTGTGTTCTATTTTTCTCTGTCGTGCAACCAAGACACTGTTGTCATGTGTCATCTCACGCTTTGAGAAGTCCCCACACTGTACACATGCCACTCTAATCTGACAGCGACTGACAAACACCAGATTACTGTCACTTACAGTGTATATTCATTTACCTGCATCAGTACGCACACACACAGTGTACCCTAGGCCTTCTCTTCTTTTCTCCTTTCTTATCTTCTCTTCTCCTCTCCTTTATTCTCTTCTCTTTTCTACTTTTCTCCTTAATTCCCCCGTTTTCTCCTTGACTGCTTTTGTCTTCTCTCTTTTCTGTTCTTCTTCCCTCCCTTTTTTCTCATTATCTTCTTCTATTTTTTTCCTTTTCTTCTCTATTCTTTTTTTCTTTTTTCTTCTCTTTTTCTGTTCCTTTCACTTTTTCTCTATTGTTCACTCTTCTTTTCTTCTCTTTTCTCTGGTTTTCTTTTCTTTCATATCCTCCACTCTTGCTTTCTCTCTCTCTCTCTCTCTCTCTCTCTCTCTCTCTCTCTCTCTCAGTAATCAGTAATTATCTCCCCGTGTGTGCTGTAGTGTTAGAATCAGCAGAGGAGTTGAATAATGCAGCCGCTCTGAGTGTCACCTGTCTGGGCTTGGCTCTGTGTGGGGGGCCCAGGGCTATGGATGCCCTCCAGGCCTGATCCATAATGGATTAAGGCACTGCAGCATAGCAGGGTGACAAAATCACTGATGCTGCTCTCCTACAAAAACAACACACATGCATACTAAACACACATACACACACACACACACCTACACACCCCCTCTGCTTTCCAAAACACCGCCTGCTTTGATACAGCCATGAGGGGTTGTATCACAAGTGTGTGTGCTGGTCCAGTACATGCCTTTTGTACATCCTACCCATCCTGTATGCGTAGCGTAATGCCCTGAGTATGTGATTTTGTTGTGCTAGTGGCGTTGTCTGTGCTGAAGTTGGAATAGCACTCTTCTCCCCTCAGAGCTACTCACTCACACACTGTGTCTCTCTCTGACCTCTCCTCTTGTGGTTCTGTACCTTAACTATGGATCAGATCAATGAGGTAAGCACACACTTCATTTGGTTCATTTGTAAAATCTAAAAATGTTGTAGCTGATTCCGCAGCTAATAACTGTAAATCCCAAGTTTGTATTAGCTAGTGCTAATGATACTGTACTGAGAAGTTGTCTTAGCAAGATATAGTAGATTGTCCAACTAGCATTAGAAATTGTCTTAACTAAATATGGTAGACTGTCTAAGCTAGCATTGTAGATTGTCATAGCTAAAGGGGCATTCCGGCCTTAAACTAGCATTTTTTTATATACATTTTAGTTATTTGTGGTGTTATGCAGTATTCTGTAGCTCTGCACTGAATCCCTCAGCTTCATCAGTTAGGCAAAATTTAATGTCACTATTATTTTCATGTTTTTGTTCATCCATGCGGATGTGTCACACAGCCATTGGACATCCCTATGTTGTCAACCAATCTTGACTGCTAGCCTAGCCACTGATTTATAGGCTAATTAATACAATCAAGCTAGCATTAGTGTAACTCTTACCTCAGTTTTGAACAAGCTTTTTTCTTGATCACAGACACAAATCGATTAACCGTTGCCTGCAGATTGCATTTTTTATTCTAGTTAATAAAAATGTAAAGCTTTATTTTACTTAAGTAAAGGCTAAAGATAGAGTGATTGGTTAACATACTGGATAACATTCTTGCCTTACGCACAGTAGACTTGTGTCTCATTCCCTGACCTGCCGGAGGCAATGAGCAAGACTGTGATTCTCTGTATAAGAGCACCTGCTCTGTTTCTCCAGAAAAATATGTTGAACTTTGCGTAAAGTGGTTAATGGCTATTAAAGCACAGTTGTTTTTTAAAATCTGTAGAAAATAAATATTTCAGGAAACAATTTTATACGTTTTATTTATCTTCTATTTTTTTCTCTAAAACAACAAAAAAGGAGTGTTTTTTATTTTCTTTTGTATTTGATCTGTTACCTTTTACCATTCTGATGTGTGATTAGTTAACAGATTGGTTGACAGCCTCTGCGTCAAACATAACCGCCTGGATGGGCGGGCACACGCAGAATGTAACTGCTGCACCATTTAAGGAAATTCGAACAGGAAGGTGGCAAGTTATAGAATGTAGAGAGTGACCTTCGCCCACTTTCATCCAAAACCTGAACATTTGTAAATGGTTAGTTGAATTCACAGTTTATAAATATGCAGTATAAGGCAGCTTATGATTCGATATAGTCAATTAGTGTTATCTGTGATGTTTAAGATCACACCAAATAAAGTGTAATTCCTAATCCGTGGTTAAGGGGCTGTATACAAAAAAAATACTGAGCTGTGTCAATGGCTTATCCAACAAAGCATATCCGCGATTCTGTCTTTATTTAGCATAAAATGGACCAGAGACCCTTTTAGACAGAGAAAAGTAGCCAAACTGTGATATCTAGATAGCTTTCAGCTTGCTGTCCTCCTCATGAGTCATTTCTGTCTCTCAAGTAATCCGTTCTCTCTATTGCAATGATGATTTGAAGATAGCTACTACAGTTATATGGTTGCAGCTAAGATAATCAGCTTCCAGTAATCTTAGCTGTATGGCTTCCTTCTTTGTTCACTAGCTACTGAAAAAAGGAAATATTTTAAAAGCCCTCCCTCAAAAATCCACCCCAAAGCAGTTAAAGTTTGTCCAGTGTTTCTTCAAGATACAGCATCGGAAAGGGGTTTACCTAGTCTTTTAACGGGAAAATCTCATTCTGGAGACTACTAAGACTCAGCTGTTCGGTGCGACAAGGCATGTTTACTACAAATGCAAGGATGGTTACATTTTTCATTTTGGCCAGAGTGTCCCTTTAGCTGACATGATAGGTTGTCTTAGCTAGACATAGTATGTTGTGATAGGTCTTAGCTTAGCAACTTGCAGTAAGCCAGTTAGGTAAGTGAAAAAAACAACATTGGGAACATAAAAAGTGTTATGTCATGTGATGTGTCTAGACTATGATTTGTTCTGAAAACATTTGACGGCGCACAGATGTACATATGAACATGTAACGTTAACAAGCCCCATTTGCTGCCCATTGTCGGCCATTTTTGTGTGCTGCCATGTGGAACGTGACTGTGAAATGTTTTCTGTCCTCCTGTCTCCTCACTGCCAAAGCCTTGTGTTTGACGGATGCTAACGGTTAATGATATGACACCACTACAGATGCTCTAAGAATGTTATCACCCAGTCTTGCATGCTCTCACCACTGTGCGTATGCAACCAGAGTTTGCAAGATGCAGGAATGGAAGTCATTTTTAGTCATAGATGCATTGCTGTCCATGTTTTCATGTGAGTTTCATGTGTTTTGTTTCATTCCAGGCATCCTTTTTACAGTCACTGCATTCAGCTCATGTTAATTTCACATTATCTTGCAAATGAACATGTGCTATCAAAATTACTTCCTATGATCCAGGCTGTAATGATGTGATGAATGTAGTTAAATTGTTTCAGTTTGCTCCTCTGTAAGTGCTAAACATGGTCTAAAGGTGTTGATGTTTATTTGCGTCCGTTTATTTGCCTGTTCAGCCTACAGCAATTTAGCTCCATCCATTCATGTTGAGGTTATAAGGAGTGTTTCAGCCAAGACTGCTTTTTGAGGCACAGTACAGGTCATTTACATACAGTACTGAGCAAAAGTCAGAGACCACCCTTTATTTAAGTTCCAATCAAAACAGCTATTAAGGACAAGTTATTCAGTGTCAGAAAAAATTAGAAAACAGTTTTAACAGAAAGTTTTTCAAAGTTTTCCAGTTTTTCAAAGAAATCTGCAGGCATATTTTTACACATCTCCAAACTTCAGGCTTGCAAATTGGTTACATTTCCTGCTTCTCACAATCCAAGTAATCCCAATTACACCTTCAGTCTCATCAATTTGTAAAGCCTTACTGCATGTCTCAGATGTCCGATTATGTAAGTGGATTATGTTATATCTTATCTCAGAGATATCGCCTAAAAAAATAACATAATGACTGTTTTGACTGGTCTCTGACTATCAGTATTAAATTCATCCACTCTTTACTTTTGTGCATTCTTCTGCCACTTTAACTTATCATCTAAAACCAACCAGCTGTGTCCTCCCAATGAAAGTTGTTCCCATTGATATTATGTTCCCCTTTAAACAAACACTAGTATTCACACAAGCAACTACCCAAACACACCTTAGCTGCCTTGCATATTTCTTTCTCATGTGCACCTCAAATGCCTAAAGGAGATGAGATATAAGATAATTGCATAAAGAGCTTGCATAAGGAAGAGGAGAACCAAAAGAAAATAAGAGAAACTTGAGTTCAATAATGTATTAAAAGAGAGAAAATGGGACTGTGAACAACTATGCAAGACCTGGTAGACCACCAAAACTGTCACCAGCAGATAAACAGTACTTCACGCTTACATTTTTTATCTTTGATAGGATACAAACCAGCTCCACTCCGTTTCAGAAAAGGTGTTTCTGTCCGTCTTTCCACTGTGAGAAGACAACACAATGCTTTGAGTCTGAAA